CATGTCGCTGATAACTTCTCTCTTGTAGATGCGCTAAAATCAACCAAGTTTGCTGCTGAGAAAAGGCTACGCCTGGAAATCAGTTCTATTAAAGAACAGATCCAAACTAAGAGAGTTCGTCAGGTTTTGTGGTCAAAAACTAAAGACCAGCTCGCCGACTGCTTGACAAAGAAGGGAGCATCCACAACTTTGTTACTTAAGGCTCTTTATGAAGGCTGTTGGGCCGTATCATAAATGTAGTAAGAAGCTTGTTCAAATTTGTTGTTAAAAAGTGAAGATTGGCTTAGCAGTATTGCTAAATAGCTGTGCTTTGCTATGTGTTGTTTTGATGCATACGTTCTATATTTGATGCATTCAATTCATTTCCCTGTGGATGATATAGTGTGGTACGACTCTTCTGAACTCCGTACAACTCGCATAACTGTTGTACCAGGACACCTTCAAAGTTCCTCCCCTGGTCCGAGTGGATACGGGCCGGCACCCCAAAACGGTAGAACCACTCACGAACCAGAACCTTTGCCACAGTTGTTGCTTTCTGATCACGTGTTGGGACAGCTTGGGTGAACTTCGAAAATACATCTGTCATCACCATCACAAGCTCCCTTCCATCACGGGCTGGTTTCACAAGTGTAAAATCAATGGCCAACAGCTGATTTGGTCTTGAAGCGAGAAGGTGTGCCTTGAGATAACATATGTTGTGAATTCGCGCTATATATAAAATAAACTAAATTGAATTGAATTATTCTGGAGATGACCGACTAATAATCTCTATTTATTCACTGGATTGCTGAGAGGGCGTTGGTAGTAAATGGTGGTGTGAAGTCACCAGCCACCATATTGGTACTCCCTAGTTAGATTGGTTGGAATGTAAACAATATGTGTGCAACAGCATCAAACAATGATGATGTTCTCATTTTCAGGGGCGCTTAAGATTTGAAAAATAAAGATAAAAGTAAGTAATTTCCCTCTGGGATTATTAAAGTATTTCTGATTCTGATAAACTCATCACTTTGACACTCACTTGCTGTTTCATAGAATCTGTAGGCTATTGTAATTTATGGTAAAAAAAAAAAAAATAGGCACATTAAATTGTATATTCAGTATGAAGTCCATGAAGTATTAAGGGAGTATTAAGATGGCAGCGGGTGGCTTCAGGTTTTTTGACCTATAAGTGATCCAGAGCATAAATAGAGATCAGTGTGCCCAACATGAATAGTTTATAAGATGGTGTTGTTTTGTTCAAAATTGTATAAACAGCAAAAGGTGCTGTATTGTGTAATTGTGGAGCCTAATTTCACCCCCCTTACTTATGAACAAAAACAAAGACTTCTCAACTAATTGTGACTTTTGTTTAACATGGTTAGATTAAAAATAATTTTGGATTCCTGGATTTATATTTGTAAGTTCAAATGGCAAAACAGGGTGGTCTAATGTGATGTCAAATTGAAAAACTGTAGGCTACCAGATGTTCTCAGACTTCTAAGAGAATGTTGTGGGGTTTCTGTCTTCAATATGAAATCACTTGGACCAAAATCTCAAAGGTTTTTCTGGACCAGCAAGAGGCAAAGAACATTATTTACATATTTTACTTTATTTTTGAATGACAGTATAATTTTAGTGAAGTTGTACTTTATGAGCAGAAAATCATGCGATGCTTTAAAGCTTTTGTATTTTGATCCATGGTGTCAAACTAATCAAAATGTTCACTTTTATCTAAGATAATTGATGATATTTTCATCTCTTCCTTCTGTTTTTTCTGGTAGAGATCATTGAGCGGAAGCAGGAGGGAAATACAATTGTGCTGCCCAATCAGAAAAGCCTCTGCTTCAGTGATGTAGGAAAGAGGAGTGACTGTTGATAAAAAATGATAATGAATACCTAGAGAGCATAAGTGAGGTCAGGTAAGTTGGGAGTTCACTGATCACCTACAGAGGATTTGTGAGAATTTTAAAAAGCTTTTTGCAACTGATTAACTGTAATAACTGTGTCCTTATAAAACTATTTTATATAATATCATTAAGCTTTTAACCAAAACCATTTTTACAATATTTTATGTAGGATTCAGTTTCACTGAATCATCTATATATGTTTTGGTCTTTGTCTGCAAGTTTAGGTTTATTCATTCTATTTTATGCAAAGATTATAACTGCTTAAGATGATGTATAAATATGTATAAAGAACTCATAGGTGCCCATGCAGTGTTTTTATGATCATAGACACAAAAAAAGTATCTCAAGCAGTAGTTAAGGATTTTTTATGTACAATATTTGGGTTGGATTTATAACTTTCAAGGTGTTTTCTTAATGGCTCACATGTATTGTAGAAAAATGTGTGCATAACTATATGTATATATTTACTTAGTATTTACTTAAAATCTGCTGATCCTCATGTGAGCTGACTTCCCCACATCTTGGCTGTGTTGAAGCAAATTTTATTCCTCTAGTGTCCCGCAAAAACCTTATCTTGTTAATTTAAAGATACAGGAAGTCAGATTATTATTACCCAGATCTCCTAAAAGTTGGGTGTTGGATACCCTTCTCACATTTTTTCCTTACCCTGTTCTAAACCTCATAAAAAGTCAAGCTGCAGCTCTGGGAACATTGTTCAATGACCTAATGCTTTCAAATGCTGCTTTTGCCTTTGAATAAAGTTATCTTTTCTTTTTGCTCAAACAGTGTTTCACTTATTGATAATTGGAAATTTCCATAACACATCTGAAAGAGAGGTTATAAATTTAGTTTGCAGACCTAACTGGTCAAAAAACAATAGGATGTAATGCAAGCTATTCAGTTTCAAAACTTCAATCAACTGCATGACAAACATTTACCACAGTTAACAGGTTCCGCATGAATAAATCATATAATAGTTGGACTGCATTTAGAAGAAAGAACTGACTTAAGAAACAGCCACTGCATTAAAACTTCATAGACTCTGAGCATAATTTACATTGGAACAATTGCACAATAGTTTAAGCCAATGGATCGTTAGATAAAACTATGAGATTAGTTTCTCTAAAGGAGACATTTGGGCAAAAGCAAAAATATGCAAATCAGTCAGATATGGTAGTTGTACAGAAATATCTTTAACAGACAAGTTGCTGCACATCAAGTGTTGTTAGGTGAAAACTACACTTCCTGTAGGGGAAAATAAAGCTGCTCATGTTAGGTGTAATTTTAAACAACTAATGTTCATGGGTGTTTTTACTTAAAAAAGAGAAGTGACACAAAAAATGAAAAAGAAGCAAACAGCCTCCATCGTAAGCAGAGTTATCCTTGGTTGGTATTTGAATATGTATCTGTGATCTGATGGACAACATAGTTAATGTGGTAAATGATCGGTTTGGACTAAGACGCATTGTTAATTTTTTTTATTTAAATTTAACTTTTAATAACACAAGATACTGTATTGAAAATGCATTGTTTTACATAAGTGTTTACTGCAGTAGAAAAATAGCGCCATCAATATTTTAACACAGCACAGACAGAGTATACATATTAAGGTATACTTTAATTTATTAAGGTATGTTTTAATTTAGAAGTTGACATTAAAACTACGAAATAAAATTCTCACCTAAAGCAATACAGATTTGAAACATAATTTACAAAAAAGCATTATGTTGATGCAGTGGAGTGCCTTAGAAAAGGGGTTTACTGTACAACACCGTTCATATCTTCCCGCCCTGAAGCACTTCTGTTACAGTTATCCCTTTCAAACGAAAGCTTTCCGAGAATAAGAGGTTGTCCAATCCAAACTAAGGAAGTAGCAAAATAATGACAAATCTATTGCTTATTTAACAATATAAAACTACAAAAGAGGGCATGAGAAACATTTGAAACTTTTTTGTCTGATGTTGCTTTGCATATTCAAATAAAGAACATCTAATGCAAATAGACAAAAGGTGCAATGAAAGGGCTGAAATTATGAAATTATTTTTTCTAAAGAACAAAAGCCATAAAAGTGTACTTTAAAGTAGTAAATAACATTTTAAGACAAGAGGCTTTTGTATATACTTACAGATCAAATTTTTCCATTGCATCATTGTGGTGCTGTGGAGGGGTTTTAGCATATCTAGTGGTGATGTCGTCCTTTTAGGATGTGAAGACTCTGATATTTGGACTGGTCGGTGGTTCCCCCTGGGGTAAAGTTGAGGTGAGAGGCTTTGTGGGACTGTGGGATGTGCCTCAACTCGTGCCGCTGAGTTGGAGGTGTTGGACTGTGTCATCCTGTGGCAGCTCTTGTTGTTGATTGGCCCATTTGGGCTGTGTGGACTTTTCTTTAAGATATTTGGCCCCTAATCTCCATGAGGTTAGGGTTCATTGGGGGTCTGGGTCTGGGGTAGTTTCTGATTTGGGGCTTCTGATACACTCCCTGATGGTGGGTGTTTCAATGGCCCACTGCTTTGTTGATGTCCCCAGGTATCCAGGCCTGGGTGCTTGGGTGTGTGTCACTGCCAGCTCACTCTGGTTGGCCCAGCCTGCTGTGGAGATAGTGTGTCTCAGGATCTCAGGCATCTGGGTACAGTGAATATTAAATGACCTGTACCTATATAACTCTGGGTCCCTGGGCAAGACCCTTAACTCCCACACTGCTCCCCGGGCATCACACAATGGCACCCACTGCTCCCCAAGGGGATTGGTTAAATGCAGAGGTACATTTCTCCAACTTCAGATCAATAAAGTTCAATTATTCATTTTTAGTTTTTCTATTCTTTCTACACACTCACATACTGATCTACTGGAGATGCACATACTTACAGAAGCTGGACATTTATGTTTAAAATATTCCTCTGTTTGTTCTTACTAATTATATTCTAATTTACTCAGACACTGACTTTTACATTTCCATTTTTTTATATTTCAAGCTCACTCCATGTTTAAAGAATGAATTCAATGAGTTTCCCTTTCTAAAATGAACAGTTTAGATATATGAAATTTTTCATAGTATTTATTAATTTATGTTCCTTTATCTCATCCTGAGATTACCCAAACAAATTTTTCTCATTGTCAATGGTAATTTCATTCAAATTGTCCAGATAGATAAGTTGCATTCAGCCTATATAATGTGCCTGATATTTCCATTGTCCAGCATTAGAGAATTTTCTTCTTCAGCAGTCGGTGTCTTTAACCCTGAGCTCTGCCTAAATCACCCAGCCAACCAACTAAGAGACTCAGCTTTAAACCAAGAGACAAGGGTATGCAGCTGTTTGTTTTCTGATTGAGTAGATTATTATTATTCATTATTCTCATGCAGTGGTTAAGACGTTTAATTGTGTTTGCAGTATGAAGTTTGAGTTGTTTTTAGTATTTATGCTGCACTTCTATACATAATCTGAGTCATTGTACATGTTCTTTTTAACAGTGTAATATTAACATAAAACTGTCAATGCAAGCCGGGATTTGTAATCTCTGTAAATTTATTTTTTTCCAGAGAAACATGAAGTTCCAGTCCTCCCTGTTATTCCTGACCCTGTTGTCTGCCATTGAGCTCAGCCATTCTGTTGACTTTGACAGATTTTTGAAGTTCAAAATTCAGCACATCATCAAGCCTGATGAAATGGAAAAGGGGTGTGATGCTGTTATAAACAGTAGACAGATTCGAAATGAACATACCGGTAAATGTAAGCCTTTAAATACCTTCATCCTCCACTCTGTTGAGAATGTTATACCTGTTTGTGAAAGTGGGGTGGCTATCACTGGTAAAAATTTAAAGAAGAGCAAAGGGAAATTCCACACTGTTCTCTGTTCACTCAGTGGTAATGAAAATGATAATCCTTGCCGTTACACCTCAATAAATGAAAATGAAAATATTGTGATTGCATGTGAAGCTGGAGAACCTGTACACTTAGAGGACCCCAGAAAATATTCTCACATTATAGTGAACTAACTGATGACGTGTAATTCTGTTTTCCATGCTGACACCAAGGTGGTTTTATGCTTCACAATTACTTGGGTGTACTATTCCAACTTTCTAACAATAAGACTATGTTCACTTGTTTAAAAAAATGTGAATTTTAAAATCAAGTTGTATTGTCATGCATGTCATATCAACCCTGAATAAAAAAAAAAAAAAAATCTTTTGCCTTGCTTTTTAAACTACAAGTGAAAAAACTAAGTTTTAAATATTGCATTTCTGTCACACTTAATCATAATAACACACACTGAAGTTTTTTGTTGTATCATGAAAAAACTTGAGCATAGAAATAGTCTTTGCACTAATTTCCAACAAATATTTATAATATAAAGCTTTCCCTAACTGTAGAAAGAAATAAATAAAGAATAGATTATTACTAATAGGGTTTACCCATAAAGCAACATTTTTTAAATGATTCTATTTAGTTCAAAATTCAGAGGCTTATTCATATAGATACATAAAAACTTAAAGGAATAGTACACCCAAAACATGATTAGCCTTCATTTTCTACTCACCCCCATGCTGAACAACACTCTGGAGTACTTTTTTGATATCNAGTTGCATTCAGCCTATATAATGTGCCTGATATTTCCATTGTCCAGCATTAGAGAATTTTCTTCTTCAGCAGTCGGTGTCTTTAACCCTGAGCTCCGCCTTAATCAGTCACTGTTCTCTGTTCACTCAGTGGTAATGAAAATGATAATCCTTGTCAGTGCGCCGAAATAGCAAGAGAAGAAAAAATTGTGATTGAATGTGAACAGACAAAACCTGTACACTTAGAGGACTGAACATTCTATTCTATTCTATTCTATTCTATTCTATTCTATTCTATTCTATTCTATTCTATTCTAGAACTAGTGATGTGTAATTCTTTTTGCCTGATAACACCAAGGTGGTTTTGTTTCGCTATTACTTTGATGTAGTATTTCAAAAATATACTAAAAATAAGACTTTGATTAATTGTTTCAAAAAATTTTATTTTTAAAATCAAGTTGTACTGTCATGCATATCATATCTACCCTGAACAACAACAAAAAAAGCTTGCCTTACTTTTTAAACTACGAGTGAAAAAAAGTCTGCTCTTTCTTGTTTACAGAGTTTTAAATATTGCATTTCTTTCACACCTAATCCCAATAACACACACTGAAGCTTTTTGTTGTAACACGAAACAACTTGGGGGTAGAAATATTCTTTTAACTAATTTTCAATAAATATTTGTAATGTTTATTTAATTATTTTTTTTATTATTTGATTTCAGCTCAAAATTCAGGGATTTATTCATATGATACATCAAAACTTTTAGGATTTAAAAAAAATGCTAAGGAGTCAAGTTATTGCAACATCAATAATGCAATCATTAATTATGTGCTCATATATTACATTTACAATATATAACATGCTATTTTTAATATTTTGGCCACAACCATAAAATTACTAAAAGTCAGACAACATAAAGCTTGGAAATATGTTCAATGCTTCTATTCATTCAGAGGATGTTTAAAGTAAACAGATAGATTTAGTGTAAACTCCATGACAGTAGTTTTTTTGTATTTTTGTAGCATAGTTATTCCCCAACTGGCCTTGATGCAGTCCTTAGTGTCTGTACTTTAAAACTAATCAACATTAACAAAATTTATGTTTGGTGTATTTACTGTATCTGTTTTGTGTTGAATTAAAAATCCTCTGGAGTTTCACAATAAAAGCAGAGAAACCATCATCCCACAGATACCAGCACAAAGTAATTGCAATTTAAAGAAAATCTGTCTGAAACAATAAAACAAGCCCAAGCAAGTTTATTTGAACAGACCCAGTCACATAGGATCAATAAAATAAATTAATATACTTAGATATTATTTTATATTTTTATTTTACATATCCAGTGTTAAAAGTATGTCTAGTGTTTTTTATTCATCCATTTTCTAAAAGATACTTTTACCTCATTAATGTGATCTTAACTTTAATGCTTGTGTGGCTATATAAGTGAACTTAAATTTCTCTAATGATGTCAATATGATGCAGGACTTAATTAATTAAATTAATTGCATTTTTTTCATCAGTAACCTCGTTACATGCTACAGGAACTTTAGTCTTTTCCTTCTCAATTCAAAAATAAAATATTCTCAGCATATTTCAGGAATATAAAGATATGCATCAGTTTTCCCACCTGGAAATGGTGTGTGTATTATTTGAATATATTTATCTTTAAAGAAAGAGTCATCGACAGCCATCGACATCACTATAACTCAACTGTAAAACCCTGGTTGGTACCCTGGACCTGGATGAAAACTGCCCTGCATGTTTTCAGATGTTTCCCAGTTTTAGATAACATGATTATATTAATTAACACGAATCTGATGAACTGAAATCTTCTGATTGAGGTGTGTTAAAATTATGGAAACATGTTAAGTTAGCGTTCAGGAGTTAAAAATATTTAAAAAAAAACTACTGCATTGACTGATCAGTGCTTCTGGAACATCTATAAAACAATAGATAACTCTTGTTCATTTACATAATCTTGAGGCTGCACCACGTGTTGCCTTTCTCTCCGCCTTTTTTCAGTTTTCACTTTTGAATTGCACTACAATGCCACATGGAAAGAATCTATGGCTAATTCTATTTCTTTTTACCTTTGGAGGAGCATTTCAGAAAGGTGAGAATAAGCACTTCCAATGCTTTTGTATACATTAGGGGGGATTTTTTTTTAATAAATAATTTAATGCATTACTGACCAAGTGCAATGGAGTCATACTTTCACTTTACTCAGTCTCTGAAGTCCAGTCTTTTCCCCAACTTTAATTAAATAAGAATTGGATCTAAAACCGTAATTATCAACAAATGGAATGAGGGTCTGAAATACTTTGAGGTTGAAAGTTTGGTATTTCTTGCAGAACCTTACTTAGCTTAGTAAAAACGTTGTGTTCAGATCGATGTAAGCAGGTCCAGACCTGCCTTCTTGTTTTACTAGTTTAAAGGGGTGGAGCTCACCTTTAAAGATAACTGGAGTACATTTTAGATATAAATCTCCTTGTTGTTTTAGTATCAAATATCAAATATTGTTATAATTTTTGTCTCTCAGATTGTAGATATTAATCTACAATTAATATCCATGTTTACTCCTTTCTTAATTTTTCTTTTCTGATTTCTAATTTTTTTAATGCTCTTTATGGTAATTATAGTTTTTATTCATGAAAATTCCAGGATTAAACCTCTCATGAAATTAGATTATAATTTTTTTATTGAGCTGCACTTGTGGCCATTCTTTTATGATCACTCTTCAAAAACAGTCACCTGTGTTCTATCTGCATATTAAAACTGACTATCTAGCTATCTATATTTGCCAATATGGCGAAGACACAACAATGTGGCCAAGTGAACAAGAGTGCACAGCATGTTACACCCACGCAAAGGCCCATAGAACATGAACAGAAATATTTGTGAACTGAGTAAAGGAGCCTACAGGGACAGCTGGAGTTAAAAATAAAATCCTTTTACAGCTGAGTATTTTTAAAGGAATGTGGGAGAAAAAGGGAAACTTTTAAAAATAAGTAATACATGTTTAAGTTCAGAAGATTTTAAGGCAGCTTGTATTTACTCAGGTGCTGTGGCAGATTATTCAAGAAACTTACATAATAACATTGTCATTTTTAAATCCGTGTTATGGGGCCAAGGCAGAAGCTGCATGTTGCTGAAATGGAAACTTTCTCTGATTACTTGGATCTCAGTCGCACAAAGATTTCACATTTGACTGAGACTAAGGGGTGTGGTTATCTGCACAGTTGGCAGAGTAGTTAAGCAATAGGATTGCTTCATAGTGACATGTTTTTGAGAAACGAGTTATGCAGAAAACAACATGAAAAATAGCTTTTGTAAAAGATTTTTAGGAACAGATGTGATCAGAGAACCTGGAGCTGGTTTCAAGCTTGTGGGAACTGCAGGGAGTTTACAGTAACTGTGGGAGAGGTTATGATCTTGAAATATGAGCTAACACACCCAATCATCCATTCTGGATATAAGAAGGATGACTGGGATCCAAAGCTGAGGTTTTCTCAGCGTAAGGGTGTATTCTGGCTGAGAAGGAGCAGCGCTGACAGGACCAAAGAATGCAGGAAAAACAATCCTGAGGCAGAGAAGCAGACATTAGGCAGACATGACCAGGAGATGGGACTTGACAACCAGAGGTTAGCAAACATTCTTAGAAAAACCAGAGACTCAGGAGACTCAGCACCAGCTGGATCCAATCAGCGTGGAAAATGAGCACTACATCCACACACACACAGCAGCACAGCATAAATATTGCCATTGACTGATAACTTTGAAATAACACAAGGCAAATTTACTTACAAATTTAACTTAACCCACATGCAGAACACCACAGGAGACTGATAAAAAGTTTAATGATTTATTAAAGAGAAATTCACAATAATGTTCATGAGCAGGTTCTGGTACAGGTCCGGGACAGCAATCACTGAGAATCTTGATGAGGTTCAGACAGATCACTGGAGAGGGGGAACCAATTGGGTCCAGAGACAGTGGGTTCAGCAGAGAGCTCAGCAGCAGCAGCGTCTAGCTTCAGACTAGTGGGTTTCAGACCTTGAATAGATGTCCTAGCTCTCCCTTGAGAGTTGGCTGGGGAATCCAGACTGATAGTCTTCAGGCAGGCAGGCAGGTTTCCAAGCTAAGCTCCTCCAGAGCTTCAAACTTCAGTCGGGCTTTCCTGTAAGCAAAGAAGACAGAGGCTGGTTAGAATCTAGTTACTCTGAAGAGTAGACAGAGATTCTCAAGTGAACAGAGGCTCAGGTTTCGCTAACCAAAACTGGTCAACACTCCGGCGAAGAAGACAGGTCAGACTGCTGCTAATGTAGGAGGTCTCCTGATGGGCTGATGATCCTCAGGTGTGCTGGAGGCTCCAGCCCAGGAGACCCACAGCGCTCTCTGCTGGAGACAGGTGGCAGATCTCCAGATCCCAACACCTTTGTCCACAATGGATGTGTAATAACTTGCACTGGGGAAATGCACATGCTCTCTTGGCTGTGTATGTAATGCAAAGGGTTTGTTGCAACAATGTGTGTCAAGGGGTTAAAGATTACCAAAACTGCCTGATCTACTGGAAAGGAGGCAGGATATTAAATGAAAATATATTGTATTGCAGTTCAGAGTAGTTAGAGACCCGTTCAGGTGGTTTAAGGCTAGTGAAGCTAAAAAAAATTATCTGCAAAAGATAGAGACCACTTTCTCAGAACGTAACCCCTGTACCTTTTGAAGATGTAAGCTACCGCAGCAGAAGACCACAAAGATTACCTCTCTTGTTGGCTAAGAACATAGCAATAATTCACACGGGTTCATTAAAGTTATAGGTCTCTAAATATGCTCCTTGTTTTTTAGAGTATTGATTTTACAAGCAGTACTCAAAAAATCATGCCTTCTTCAGGTACACAAAGCACATGTCAACCAGATGAGCAAACTCCCACGAAGCCTCAAGCACCCTGCAGAAGGTGTAGAACTGGGTCAGTGTTCCACAGCTGGAAAGAAAACAAACACTGCTCTTTCTTAAGCTAAGGTTTGCAGTTGGCAGAACTCTCCTCTCCAGTCCCCTAGCATAGGCCTTCTTTGTAAAACTGAGAGGTGTGCTCGCCCTGTAATTGAACCACACATACTGTCCCCCTTTCTTGTCAAGGTCAGTCAGCACAGGGCCATTGACCCTGATGACAGGAAGAAGCGGTGTGTCATCCACTCCCAAAGCCTCACCACCATGGAGATTTCCAATCACCTCAGCTTGGATGGTGAAAACGTCCAACACCAAACAAAAGTGTGCCCATGGTGTAACCCAGTGGGGACACTCCAGGAGTAGGGTTTAGGGGCCCTGTACAAGGGACTATCTGATCTATATTCCTACAGCATGTTGGACTGTGGAGGGGTTAACTTCTGTAATCGTTCCTGGCCAAAAAAAAAACTCGTGGAGAGGATTTTTAGATGCAGCCGAGGTACGTACGGTGCTGACAGGGCGAAGCTATCGGGAGGATGAACAGCGCCTCCAAGCCGGAGTCGATGGTTCTGACCAGAAAAGGGGGTTTATCCACTTAATGTTTAATGTTTATTCATTTAGCAGACGCTTTTATTTAAAGAGACTTACAATATAGACACAATTTCACAGTTATCCTTAATATGACAATAAGTTCTCTTAAAGGAAAAATCCCTTGTCAGAATCAGTGGGGATAGCAAAGAGAGAGAAGGGGGAGTGCAGAAAGAGTAGCATAGAGGTACAGAGGTATTGGTAAGACGTAAGACGGATATGTGCTTTAAAGAGGTTGGTTCTTAAGTGTTTCCAAAAGATAGAAAGGGAGGCTGTTGTTCTCATTGTGCTTGGTAGGTCATTCCACCCTCTTGGAACAACCCATGAAAACAGTCTGGATTGTCCTAAGTGTGGCATAGGTACTGCTAGCAGACAATCCATTAATGGCCAGAGTGACCAAGTTGTGATATGAGCCTTTGCAAGAGGGTTCAGTCAAATGGAAGCCGTCTTTAACTTCGGGTTGGAGAAGAGTTCCTGCCTCAAATGAAGGATTTAATGTCTGTACTGTCCAGTTCATGAGAAAGGGAAACAACAATTCGGAGATCAACAGAAGATGTTGTCACTGTCGCCTGCAGATACTACAACAGAGTGGGTCAAAAAAGAGCCCAGCCAAAAGGCAAAACTCTCGATTTACTGGTTAGTCTAAGTAATGGGATGTAGGCAGTAGTCCTCTAAAGACGCCTATGCATTGGGGCTTATTCCTAGTTCTTTTTGCTGGGCATATCCCTCTTATAAAAATAACACTGAATAACAATTCTTATAGTCAACAACTAAGACAGGAATTAAAACTATAACATGATTTAATCTAAGTTTAACAGAGAAATGTGAGGCAGAGCACTGGGCTAATGTTATCTTTGGAAGAAAACTTTTCCCATCGGTTCTCATACCTTGGTGATATCTGTAAAGTTTACAGTATGTGTCATACCTGTCTATCTTATAGGGTGTGTCATTGTTTTAAAGTCCTGACCCACTTTAGATGGCCTGCTGCTCTTGCTATAAAGACACGTGTTCCCTTTATCAACCCTGGCCCACCATTATGTACTTTGGGGAGTGAAGAGGATTTGTTTTTTTCAACAGAGGAAAATGGGATGGAAATGAAAGCCTTCTAATACAATGGTCATCATACAGAAGCTTACTATTGTCATTTTTTGTTAAATGTTTCCTGCAGATGTAGCAGCTGTGATCCAGACCCAGCAGACTGTTTTAGCAGCAGAGGGTGAAGATGCTCCTCTCAGCTGTCAGCTCCTGGAAACTAAAGAGGTCCATCAGGTCACCTGGCAGAAGGTCTTTGGGAACACAAAGATAAATATCTGCTCCTACAGCGAGTATTATGGCCAAACAGTAAATCCTGGCTTTGAAAAAAAAGTTCAGTTTACAGAAGCTGGACTGAAGAATTCCTCCATAGTTATCAGGAAGGTTACAGAGCAGGATGAAGGATGTTATCTCTGTTTGTTCAACACCTTTCCTGATGGAGCTCTGACAGGGACAACCTGCCTGAAGGTTTATGGTAAGAACCAGACTATATTCCAGGATTAACTTCTATAACTAGATGTTGATCATGATGTTTGTTCTCCTACCAGAGCTGCATGAACCCATCCTTGATGTCAGCAGATCAAATGTTTCTGCAGAGTCAGTTGTGTCCTGTTCAGCCACAGGTCGACCTGCTCCCACTGTAACACTGACTGTTCTACAGCAGAACCTCAGCTTCTCCCACTACAACAGCAGCAGTGTGACCCACAGCAACGGTACAGTCACCGTCACCACCACAGCTCTGCTGTCAGCTTCCAGCAGCACACAGGTTGGATGTTCAGTGTCAGTGCTCTCTGCTGCTCCCAGAGAGAAGCTGATCACCGTTCCTGGATTTACAGAAACATCTGATGATGGTGAGAAGACTCTCTTTATAGTGAATACTCATATCCATGTATTTCTGTACATTTTCTCATATTCATGGTTATAACATGAGGAATGTAAGTTGGTGGACCATCTCAAAGTAGTTCATCATTGTGGAATATTTTTGAATGAAAAAATTACAATGCTGAGTTTCTAGTATCCTACAGACCTTGTATGGGCACAGCAAACTTGTGGAAGAAGAGTTTGTTAATATGACCTAGACTTAGACAACTTTTATTGTCATTTTCACTATGGCTTGGTCCAGCAAGGTGTTAGAATTGTCTGTGAGGACATCAGCTAGCTGACCTGCACACTCCTTTAACACCTGCCCAGGTATGGTATGGGGGCCTGGTGCCTTTCTTGGGATGACTCACCTCAGAGTCTTCCACAATTCAGCTGTGTCAAGGTTGAGTACCTCCTCTTCCTGATGTGGTTCTTTCATTGCTGGAGTGCTTTTTAGTGCCTCAAACCTTCTAAAGAAGTTTTTGAGTTCAGTCAGCATCAGCTGCACCCACCAGGAGGGAGGATGTGTTGCAGTCTGTGATCGCCCATATACCTTGCCACATCCTTCTGGTGTTTCTGGCATCATGGAAGAGATCCTGGATCTTCCGGCTGTGGTTCTGCTTCGCTGATCTGATGGCATGGGTCAAGTTGGCACACGCTCTCCTCAGTGCCTCTCTGTCACCAGACTTGAAAGCTGAGTTCCGTGCTTTTAGTGATATCCGAACCTCCTCATCAGTCCAGGGTCGTTGGTTGGCCCAGGTGGTGATGTCCTTTGTGGTGCCGATGTCCTCAATGCATATGTCGATTTAGGCTGACACAGTCATGGAATACTCATCTATATTGATTTTGTTGTCATATCTAGCCACAGCTTTAAAGACGTTCCAGTCAGAGCATTCAAAACAGTCCTGGAGTTTCCCCAGGTACTGAGGGCCCCCTTAATCCACACTGTACTTTGCCCTGATTAGCTGGGGCCTGTATGCAGGAATTAGTATGACAGATATGTTATCTGATGACCCGAGGTTGGGGCGGGGAGCTGCTCTGAATGCATCTTTAATGTTAAAGTAGGCATTTTGTCCCCGAGTTGCAAAGCCCACATGTTGGTAAGAATGAGGGAGCAGTCTTCAAGTTAGCCTGGTTAAAATTCCCAGCAATAATGAAAACACCCTCTGTTCTCTTCAGATTAGAGCTCAGAGATAGCCTGCCCTGGTAGAGAATCTTTATGGCCTCTTTTGGATTAGCGCTCGGAGGGACATATACAGCAGTGATGCTAACCATACTAAACTCCATAGGCAGATAGAACGGTCGGCAATTAATAGTCAGAAACTCAATGTCTGGAGAGAAGAAGCTGTTGATTGATCTAGCATTTTTACACAAGCTACCAATCTTCTTTTTTGAAGAGACCTTGTGGCAAAGATCATCCATTTTGTTATCCAGTGATGGGATGTCGGAGAGCAGGATTGATCAGTGGTGGGTTGGATTTCCTAGCGCACCGCCTCTTCCCGCCTTATCTTCAGCCTGTTCCATTAGTCCAGTACTCTGTTTTCATGCATCTGAAACTCTGCAGTGTAATAAACGGTCAAGAATGGCTATATTTATAAGTCCGGACAAAACATTTTATGACCGTAGCTCCAATAGGCGGTCGAAGATGTAGAATCTATGCCTTGTTTGTAGCGTTTTAAGCTGTATATTTTGTTAAATTGTCAAAAGCTTTATCCGCTCTGATATGACACCAAATTGGTGGTAATCCTGTAAATATAACCAACACAGTCTGAGGGGGAGAGTAAATGCTGCAGCTTATCAAATCATAATACTTCGGGATGGTAACATCATACTTAGGTGAAAATGGATAGAGTTAAATACAAGATAATGCTAAAAGCTTTCTGGCTGCAACTTTAAACTGGAGTAGAAGTTCACAGAAGCTAAATACACCCATGTGTTAAAATGACCTAATCAAAGTGCATAGCTAAATTAAACTGAGATATGTGGAAAGAGATAAACACTAATGTTTAGATGATCCAAATACACTTGGATGCCACCCTTAGATTTTTATGGGAGAAAAAAAAACCCATCTTCTTTGCTATAATAAACTTTAAATCCTACTGTCACATAAAATTACCAAAAGAAAAGTCATAAAGGTTGTGGTCTGTTTTTCAAATTATTAAAAGAAAAGTAGGCAGGAATTTTTTTTTTTTTACTGTGTGGTTCTGTTATTTTTATTCACGTGGTGTTTTTTTTTAAGGTTTGGTTGAAGACTCTGGACCTGATCACAGTGTTATTGGTATGTTAGTGTTCAGGCTTTTTATAATTTCTCTTCATTCAGTCATGTTTCTAATGCCTGTTATTTTTCTGCAAAGGATGGATTGTTGGAGTGTTGGCCATTGGAGTTTTAGTGGCTTTACTTGCCATTTTCTGGTTTAGACGAAAGAATCAGAGCAGGTACAACTATCAGAGAACTTTGCTGTTTTGTCAGTAATCAGTTTATTATTCATTTATAATTACTTAATTTATAAAACCCTTAATTTGCCACACAGGAAGCATCAAAAAGAGAAAAACTCAAAGGAACAAATCAGCGTTATTCAGTAAGTTTTTTTTTAGTTATATATCACTGAAATTATTACATTGTTTACATATTAATTTTTTAAAATTGGTTCTGATAACAATATCACATTCACTCAACATAATGGTATGACATTTTCTTTTGAACGTCTTTGACTAATTTACTTTAACAGTCTTTAGGCTAAAACATATTTTTCTTTTTAATCAAGGAATGAGGAAATCTTTGTGCCACAAAAGAACATTGAGGAGCAGACATCTGTCTTAATCAACAGACAAACCAGCAAATCACCAACAACAAAATATCCAATAACACTTGATGTAGAAAGCTCTCCACATCCAATACTGACAGGAAAAAAATCTTCATAACCAAACCTGGTTTGTATGTTTTATACGAATAAAGATCTAATTAAGTCATTTTATACATTTTTAAAATAACCAGAAATAATCCTTTTGTGACTTTCTTTCCAATTTCCCCATCATAGATGTGTGTGTATGCATTTATATGTATGTGGGTAAATATACATATAGAAAGTGAGAGCGATCTGAAAAACATTTCTCCACTCTTCATGATTTGTGTGTTTCAATGCCTTCAATTTCCTTTTCATCACCCACTCAGAGGTGTAATTACTTTTTTTTTTTTGTTTGTTTGTTTTTCTTTTAGTTTTATAGGATTTCCCCTCTGCAGAATCCTCGTTGGTTTCAGCTGGAGGTCACAAACAGATGAGGACCGGACTTTCTCTTTAAGGAGTATTTATTAGACCTAGAATACTTCTACATCTTCCTGGTCCTGAAGGAGTAAAACAGTCCCACATAATCACATTACCACCACCATGTTTTACTGCTTATATGATATTCTTTTTCTGAAATGTGGGTTTAGTATTGTACCAGGTGTAATGGGACACACACCTTTCATATTCAGCTTTTGTCATGTAAGCCAACAAAATGTTTTCCTCAAAGTGTTAAGAATCTGTAGCAGCCTATTGGAATTAACAGCCAGATGCAGGGATTTCCAAACAGGTGCGATTTAATCTTGACTTTTCCTGTCAAAGACACAGTGAAAACTGAAGCATGAAATACTGAAATAATGAAAGAATATGTAATTGTTGGACATGCTTAACCATTGTTTAAAATTAAAACATTAATGTTCACACATACAACAAAAAAGGATTTTTATTGTCCTTAACTCGTCAGCTGTTTTGTTTTTTAAATAAAAAAACGAATGATGTTCTACTGCTTCAAAAATAAATGAATAACATTAACTATCACAAATCACAATTGTGCATATTAATACCTCATTCTGCTTTACAAAGGCTCTATTTTAAGAGTTCCGGTTCGGGTTCCTTCAGGATCTAACGCTGTTTGAACATGCTTAGCAAGAACAGGAAGTGCAGTAAATCACAAAACACAAGTAGAAGAAATCTACCCTTCTTCAAAATAAAGCATAAGTTAACCACTAGGTGTAACTGCTGGGTCAATGAACACGAAGGAGAATTTTATCATTTAGTTATTTACAGAATCATGGAGATTTATTCTGGAAAATTTTGAGATGAGCCTTAATGTTTTTTGCTCTGCATTGGTATTAGTTTTGGACCTCTGCCATTCTTGCTCAGTCTTTTTCCCACGGTAGAGGCTTGAACTCTGAACTTAACTGAGGTTAGTGAGGCTTGCAGTTCTTTAGATGATGATGTGGGGTCTTTGGGTCCTATTGGATGCTCTGTTCTTTGGGTATTTTGGTCAGTAAGCTCCTGCTAAAACGTTCACCACTGTTCACAATGCTGTATGCTGGAGACCCGAAGCTTTAAAAACGGCTTTGTAATCCTTTTCCAGACTGACAGATCACAATTATTTTATTTCTTATTTGTTTTCAAATTTCTCAGGATCTCGGCATGATGTACAGCTTCTAAAGTGCTCTTCTTTGTGTCAGACATGTCCTTCTTAGTGGATTTCTAGATTGAGAGGAATGTGGCTGTAATTAGTCTTGGGTGTAGCTAGAGAAAGTGGGCCAAGGGGCATTAGGTTATGTTCACCTTTACAATAAAAACATTAATTTCATTTAAAACTGCATTTTGTGTTCTTGTGTTTTCTTTAACTGGTATTTAGATTAGTTGATGTTCTGACAATCCTAAAGCACAACTGCATACCTTCTAACAAATTATTAGCTTTTCTTGAATTGTATAATATTATTTTCCCTCTCAAAATACTGAAAAGCACTTGGCATGAATTCATGCTCATTGCAGCTGCCCTTTTTATACATTCATCCATCTAACTTTAAAGGGTTGGATCCATCTCTCGGTCCTCAAGGCGCACGGCATGTTTCAGATTTCTCTCTGCTTTAACCCAACTGACTCAGAGGATCTTAGTTCAGCAAAGCTTGTCAATCTGCTATCAGTTTATATCAGGTTTGTGAAAGCTGGGAAACATCCATGACATGTAGGGAAGTGTGCCTAGAGGACTGGGATTGAAAAACACTTGGGTATGTGACCCAGAGCGCTAATTTACATCATTCTGAGCTCCCCTCAAGAAAAGAGCTACCCAAGCTAGAAAAGTTTTAGTAGGTAACAAAACATATGGGGGGAGACTGATTATCGTTCTTACATATATTAAAAATGTCAGGCATTCTAAAAAATAAGATTAGTCTTAAAACTTTTTATTTCAGAACTAAGCTTGAAGTCTAAAATTAATAAAACAATTGACTGATAATCATGTATATTATTCTGTTAATAAATAAGTTATTAAAATAAGTTATTGAAATTACAATCAGAGAAAATATAAGCCGTCTAAGAGAACGGATCATAAAGTTATTGGGATAACGGTATGCGGCCCCCCGCCTGCCCGGTAAGGCAGGCCGGGCTGAGCATGGGGCCGCCTGGGTCCAGGCTACCGTCACCAGGTCGGGTTCGGTCGCTCCATCCCCTGCTGGCTCCCTGCCCCTGTCCGCCAAGGTTTCCGGACCAGCCCCAGAGCTGACGGCTCAACCAATGTTACACACCCTATTCAGAGACCTTAAGGACCAGCACCAAATACCCTATATAATAATTCTATGACCCCTTTAAATTAAGAACAGACTGTATTCCAGGGTTAACTTCTATAACTAGATGTTCATCATGAAGTCTTTTATCTTCCCAGAGCTGCATGAAATCCTTAAGTTAATGTAAAGGCTTAATATAGATAGAAATACAAACCCGTGTGTCCTGTGGGTTTTTCCCATGACACACCAGCTGCAATGGATGACTGGAAAGACAGGAATTGTAGTGTTTAGGCTGAAACAACTGTCTATTATGACTCAGACTGAGTCAGACAATAAAGTCTTGAGGAAAGTCTTTTCTCATATAAGGATGAATGTATTACAGTGGTTGTCTGAAAGGAGAATTCTCCAGTGGTTCAGTATACAAGCAGAATAGTAATGTTCGTCTGACAAATAAGCGTTAGTTTTTTTCAAGAGAGACGAGGAACTTTACAAATAATTGCAAAGCTGTGTTAAAGCATCAGGAGTTGTTGTGACATTTGCCCTGGTTTGTTGGATGCGTTGCTAAGCAAAAGGATTGGTTTCTCCTAAAAAAAGGGATACTTGTTTAGTAATAAGAGAGAACGCAACTATACAGTCACAAGGGAACGTTCACATACTTTTGTGTAGCAATGTTCTCATGCTCAAAATAAAGGCCAATAGGCTTTATTTTGAAATCGCAAAATAAGGAATATGAAAAATTAAGGACATTTTTGGACTGACAAAATAAAAACTAATGATTATAAATAATTAAACTGATGCATTAATGGAGTTCCAGTAAGATGGAAACATAAGCTATGTTTTGTTTATATATATATTTTTTTCTAAATGCAAATGAACCAAATATGTGCTTTGGTCAGCTGTTAAACAATAAAATCTTGTTTATTTGAATATCTGAGTTAGTTTTTATGAGGGGGGAAACCCATTTGGATGCCCTAAATGCAAAACTTTTAAACTGCATAAACATTTGTAACTTATCACCTCATGCTCATTTGCAATTCTATCAGTCATCGCAACATGAACTTGCGACTGGTAGTATGAACTAATAACCACAAATTGATTTAACAATTTTTTAAACTATATTCAATTTACTTTAACAGAATATTTGGGGTGTTTTCAAAATCGACATTAGGATTAGATGATAAAATATACTTTTATGCAAATAAAAATATTTATTATGATTGCAACAAAAATCCATTTCAATTATAAAGAATATTCCACGGACAAATCTATAAAGGTAACATAAAAGAAAACTATTCTATCTACAGGGTGGGAAACTAACAAAGAAAATACTGTACATTTTAAGATGTATTAAGACAAAGAATTAAAGTACAGTGTAGGAAACGCAATGGTTAGGAATGAAATACAGAACTTAGTGTACTGTGTAAAGAGCAATTTGTGCTTTTTCACTGTTGCTTTTTTTTCTTTTTAGATTTTTTATTTTTATTTGTGAAATAAGTGTTTTCAGGATTTGGTTTAGGATAGTTGACCCAAAAGCAGAGGGTTAGGGTTAGGGTTAGAATTTTTTGTTGATTTAATGAAGAGAACTGAAACAAAGTCCAAAACGACAGGCAACAGAATCCAGAAATCCAAACGAAAACAAAATCCAAAAACAAATGAGAAACCAGGAGTCCAAAAATTCAAAGATTAAAAAAAACATGAAAACACAAGTCAAACGTTACCAAAAACCTAGGAGTCATCAGGGGAAGAACTGTAAACCTGGAGGATAGCTCTGAGAGACGAGTTGCAGGAAGACTGATGAGGTAAGACGAGTACCCAGCAAATATGAACTGAAGAGAGAGGGCTTTTAAAGGAGACAGAGACAAAGAGAGGGCTAATGAGAAGATTGGGAACAGGTGAGGACAGAGCAGAAACAAAACAGGAGCTAGGGAGAAAAGAGAACACAAGAGGGCAGCAGAGGGCAGCAGAGGGCAACAAATGAAAAAAACTGGAAGACTGATGATAGCTAGAAAATACAACAAAATAATAATTAAACCACTAAGTCTCTAAATCAAGGAGAAAGGTAAAACTAAACACTCAAAAGAAAACATAACAGAACCAAGACTGAAACAGTAACTAAGAATTAACTAGAGAACACAGCAAAATAAAAATTAAATCACTAACACTAGAAAACAATGAGCAAAGCAAAACTGAACACTAAAAAGAAAATATAACAGAACCAAGACTAGGACAGCAACTGAGAAAAAAAAAAGAACACAATAAACTAATAATTAAACCATAAAAACCTGGAAACGAGGAGAAAAGCAAAACTGGATACTCAAAAGAAAAACATCACAGAAAACAGAAACCTAACAAGTGTATTGTTTCTTCAGTAGTTCATAATATTTAACTTCATTGTTTTGTGTAAGAGAGTTAGAAACTCTAAAGGTTAATATCTCTCTTCTGCGCTCAGCTGTATGCCCCTCCCTCAAGTGTTAGACGGTTGGAAAGACCAGCAGGCAAGGGGTGGGGGGGGATCACTTCTTTCTCTCCATATCACTTCAGTTCAGTCATGAATTAAAAACCACCCTTAGGATGCCACATGAAGGAACTTTGTGGTTAATTCCCTTTCTTTTTACCTGTGGAGGAACGTTTCAGAGAGGTGAGTATACGCACTGCTTTTTACAGGATGTTTTTTCTCTTATCAAATTATTTATTCTAAAGGTGAAAAAATCCCCTAAATTAGTACGCCCATCCCTTTTGCTCATTGTCCTCTATATAAATCTGATTTAACAGCATATAAACAATCCTTATGTTAATTAGAAACAACTAGTGGTGAAATTTTTCTTTTTTTCTTATTATTTAACAAAAATACTGGCTTGTATTGTTTTCTTACACCCTGCATACTTTTTTTAGGTAAAAATCTATATATCTCTATATCTCTCTACACACACAAACATATTCATCTTGCTATATTTAGAGAGGACCATGTATTGAATCCCATCAACTTCGGTTGATTTTCATTTTAAATGCTTTCTTTGCCCTAACCCTGACATTAAAACTAAACCTAACAATTACTTGTGCTTGGTGTGATGGTGATATCATAAAAATGGTCATCACTTTGAGGACTAGAGAGGAACTCCATTTTGATCCTGAGAAAAAAAAGTAACATTTGTTACTTAAGTAGAAGTATAGATACTGCAGTTTGAAAAACATTCTGGTAAAAGTATAACTATCAACTTTACCTGTTTACTCAAGTAAAAGTGAAAAAGTATGTGCTCCAAAAACTGCTTAAAGTATAAAAGTTTAAAGTAACCTTTTAAAAAAAAAAAAAACAGCCAGATGCCACTACATGAATTGAAAGCTAAATTTTTCGACTGTTTTGAAAAATTCTTTGAGATAGGGCCAAGGATGAAGGAGGTCTTGTTGGTCTCCATCTCCTGATATGCTCTCGCCTGTGTCCGACCTTTCAGACATTTTAACATCTTTTTCTGAATCCTACATTGTAGCATGGCATAGACAATTCAAGTTTGCAGTTTGAAGAACACCTGCTTGCTTCTGATGATTTCCTTTAGCTAACCAATGAGTGTTTGCGTTATTTGACTCATCCAATTCCACTAGTTTTCACTAGATGTGGATGGCGCCAATGATCTGCATTCGATGGCGCACATGACGTGAAATAAATATTTATAAACATAAAACCAGAGGTAACCCATTAAAAATCAGCGGGGTCGGGATAAAGAAATCATCAACCAGTAAAGGTCCAGAGACATTATTAAGGATCTGTTACTTTAAACAGAATAGGAAAAAAAAATCGATTTTAAAATCTAAAGTGTTTTTTGAAGTAGAGAACAAGAATCTTTCAGTTTGGAACATAGAGAATTTGCTGATTCACATATTTTATAAAACACCTGGACTGTCTGGCTTAATTAGAGTAGTGGGCTTTATGCTGCCCTGCAAGGCTTTAAACCTGGGTTTGAATGGAGACAAAGCCATGCTCAAGCACATATCAAGGTGCTCATTTTGAGCTTTGATCCATTTATTTTTGATTCTGTTCATGGTGGAGAATCCTACTTCACAGCAGCAGGTTGAGCCAAACATACAGTACTCTAAATGTGCAGCCTCCACTCTGGTCCGGCCAGGTCAAGATCCTCTACTGCAATCGCACCAAACAGGAAAAAGAACAGCGAGAAGACCCGGTTTGACAAATTAAAATATAGTAACAGCAGATCGGTAGTAACTACAAATCAGAGTATAATTCTTATATATAAAAAAAAAAAAAACGAACACTGTTTATTTAAAAGATTGGATGCAAACTATTGGTACTTCTACAGAGCAGAACGCAGATTTTTCATCTCCTTCAGAAACCATAATATGCTGGATGCTGATTGTTTTTTTTTAATATGTCATATAAAATTAAGCATTCATTTCTGCATGTTTTGCACCTATGGATATAATGATAATATCGCGCATGCTCTCCTCGAGCTCCGAGGATAAGTCGGAGCGCAGCAATACAAGAGGAACAGCGGAGGCTGTAGGCTTTGCTTTGCACATTAGGTCTGGAGAGCTGCGGGGCGGAGCGGAGACAGAGGATGTGGAATATTGGGGTCAGACAACATGTGGTAATTTATCAATGTTTTAAATCAAGTCTGGTCCGGATTAGCCAGCAGGTGCGTCCAGATCTGGACCGCAGTCCGCTAAGCCATGACCTCTGCATTAAACAGAAGCCAAGAGTAACGAGTAACTTTTGTTTTAAAAACGTAAGAATTAGAAAGTACAGATACTTGTGTAAACATGTAATGAGTAAAAGTTAGAAGTACTAAGAAAATAAGTATATATACCTAAAAGGTGTACTTAAGTACAGGAACGAAGTATTTGTACTTTTTTACTTAACACCTCTGGTTATTAGTTGTAAACTCGTCACACCGGGTTGGATTTGAGAGGCTAACCTGTGTTTTCTTCCTGCAAAGGTTCATGCCTTAGAGACGCTAGCTGTTCACTGCCGGTCCTTGTTTTTAATAAACTTTTTGAGATATCATACTCTCTGTCTGTCTGAAAACTGGGTTCTCTGTTTTGTTATTTTTACCTGCAAAACATTTGACAGCTTTGTGTGCTTTTGCTGTATTTACCATTTAAATGAAAAAAAAACCTATTACCCATTACCTTATCCTTACCCTACGTCAGATCTAATTTTTTTGTGGACCCAATATAATTAAAAGGGAAGATTTTTCAACTGTAGTGTACTTTGCAGGTATGATGGCCCTCTTGTTTCGCTGTAATAGCCAAAAAAGTCACATCTGCTTAATAGAAATCAAAACTTTCTTCTTGTTCTGCCTTGCAGCTCTCCTGAGCCGCCATCTAGATAGGGAAAACATAAATCGTTAGCTGCAGCTGTGAAATTGCGTTTGAGCAAACCTTGAAGAATGATTTATACTTGATTTATGTACAAGATCACTTCAGCCAATTATATCATAAAATAGCAACCTCACTGCTCACCGTGGGAATTTGCAACTATGTGGTCAAAAACAAGGTAGACAAATTAAAGCTCCTGACAAGGAAGGTTTGCAAATATGAAATTCTAGAGACATGCCACTTGGATAACACGAAGTAGCTTTGAAAAATTTGAAAAAAGCTGTTTTCCGCTTCCTCCTGTAGTATGGTGACATAAGCTTGTGGTTTATGCTGTTCAAACATCCCTCCAGCCGGCCAGAATATTTGATACAACTAAAGAACCTGCTTTGCAGGTATTTTGTCCATATACTGTATCTCATTTGGAATGTATGTGCACCAGCTGTAACATAAACTTGGTGGTTTAAATTTTGCTAAGCATGGAGGTTTCTGAAATATTGTGGAATCTCTGCCAAAGAAAACAGAGAAAATCAAGGTGCATTAAAAGGATGGTGCACCATCTAAATAGAATAAACCAGATCTGTCCTCTTTATGTTCTGCAGATGTAACAGCTGTGGTTCAGACGCAGCAGACTGTTTTAGCAGCAGAGGGTGAAGATGCTCCTCTCAGCTGTCAGCTCCTGGAAACTAAAGATGTCCAGCAGGTCACCTGGCAGAAGGTATTTGGAAGCAAACAGAGAAATATCTGTTCCTACAGCGAGTATTTTGGTCAGACAGTGAATCCTGACTTTAAAGATAAAGTCCAGTTTACAGAAGCTGGACTGAAGAATTCCTCCATAGTTATCAGGAAGGTTACAGAGCAGGATGAAGGATGTTATCTCTGCTTGTTCAACATCTACCCTGATGGAGCTCTGAAAGGGAGAACCTGCCTGAATGTTTATGGTAAGAACCAGACTGTATTCCAGGATTAACTTCTATAATTAGATGTTGATCATGAAGTTTATTCTTCTCCCAGAGCTCCATGAACCCGTCCTTGATGTCAGCAGATCAAAGCCTCCTGCAGAGTCAGTTGTGTCCTGTTCAGCCACAGGTCGACCTGCTCCCACTGTAACACTGACTGTTCTACAGCAGAACCTCAGCTTCTCCCACTACAACAGCAGCAGTGTGACCCACAGCAACGGTACAGTCACCGTCACCACCACAGCTCTGCTGTCAGCTTCCAGCAGCACACAGGTTGGATGTTCAGTGTCAGTGCTCTCTGCTGCTCGCAGAGAGAAGCAGATCACCGTTCCTGGAGTTAAAGGAACATCTGGAGATGGTGAGGAATCCTCACATATTATATCTGGATTCAGTTCCCTTCATTGTACCACTAATTTTAGACAGTTTCTTTGTCCCTGCTAAAGAAGAGCATCACAGGTTACTTTTCTCTCTGGAGTGTTAGTTTTCCACCATTTTGCATCTAGGCAAGTAACATTTAGCTAAATTTGTTGTCTTTCCTGTGCGCTTCAATGCAGAATGTAAACAGGAATTCTTGTTTATTTTTATCTATCTTTTTTCCGACCACCTCCAGATTTGTGGAGTGACCTGTCCCAAGCATACCTGTCAAATTTGGGATTTTAAAATATGGGAATTATACGTTATTCACTGCGAGCCATCCGCCTACCCCAGTCCAGCTCCAGTGTTCAATATATTTAAACACATGTGCACAAGAAATCTAAAATAAACACTAATAGCAGACCACAATAAGTTGATGAGATTTTGACTTCCTTTGCTAAAACCTGTGCTAAAGTTGGAAAATAAAGTGCATGGTTAAGTGCCCTTTACAGTGGTGAAGATGCACTATATGTTCACTTTTTTTCAGCCCCTGCCCTTCAAAAGGCCTGTGCACAGCACTGGTAGAATTCTTCTCTGAGTAGTGCTGTTCATTTTTAGCATTCTGGTTAAACAAGACAGCCAATAGGGTGATATTTTGAGCTGTCCCACCCTAGAACCCTTTCTAATAGACTGAAAAAAGCTCTGGCTTTAAACATTTCTAAACTTCTCCACAACTTTCTCCCTGACCTTATTGTGTCCCTCTGTCTTTATGATGATATAGGTTTTTTTTATTGTATTTAAAGTTTATTACTTTATCCAATAATTTATGTAAATCAATGTAATTCAAGTAACACAAAGCAATATGTTTTTGCTTTATGTTTTCTTTTTTTGTAAAGATGACTTAATACAAATGCATGCCACATTTTGTCAAATTCAGATTTACCATCATGCACAATTTTGTGTCGGTCTGTCAGGAAGTTGTTGATGTATTGTAAGAAAATGTACAATAAACAATCAAATCTCTTATCAGATATGGATATACAATCTGGATCAGATGGCAGAGGTTGGAGTAAGTTCACGTTCAGATTCTGATGTTGAGTTTTCAGGGTTTTTTTCCTTATTGATGTTAAAACACATTTAATCTTTTCCCTAAAGGATGGCCTGTGATTGCTGCTCTAATGGTTACCTTGTTTTGTTTTGCCGTGATGATTGGAATAGGACTTCAAAAAAAGGTATTTCTTTCATTTAATGATGACCTAATGATTTACTTTATCACTGTCTCAAATATTTCTTTGATGGCTGCTTCTGAATTGTTCACAGGGAGAAGAATCCCCAGGATGACCCAGAGATTGTACTTATCAGTTCCATTCATATAAATGTATTTCATCTTTTACATTCACGTCTAAGGGGACATAACTTTTTGCGCAATACATTTTAGAGCGTAGTTTCTCCTGTTTAAGTCCCTTCATTTTCTACTGACATATTTTTGTTTGGTTGGTTGTTTAAATTATTATTATTATTTTTTAAGCCAGACAACTCATCAGTGTACAACTACAAAGGACCTAAAAGACGAAGGCATGAAAGACATAGAAAACAGCGAGTCCCAGTCAACATCTTGACATCTGTTGGCTTATTAACAGTAAAAAAGCAAAGTGTGGTCGGATGTATAAGGCAGCTTAACTTAAACAACACTGGCTTAAAGCTGCCAACCATTCTTTTAACTGTGCTGCTAGACATTTCTATAATTGCCTACTGAATTTTTACACGTTGCTGTCAGATTTTTTTCATTCTTACTTATCTTTTAAACATTTTTCCACTTTTGGTTGTATATACTTTTTTACTCATGTGTTTTGTACTTATTTTACTGAAAAATAAAGAATAAACAGTAGATTGCTTCACAGTTTTTCTGGCATATTTTTTAAAGTTCAGAACAGAACTGTGGCGGAGAACACCAGCGCCGGAACAGGCTACAATACAGCAGGTAAGTAATGGCATAACAAGGTGGCATCTGTTTACATAAAAGCATAATACAAGAACATAATAGCAGGTGGTAGTAGTGGAATACGTCCTTGAGTTAGAGCGTCAACAACAGAAAAGCTTATTAACCCCACCTGCTCATAATTATGGGTTATCATGGAAACCATAAGATAAGGGATTCCTTTCTTTCTTATCAAAATAAAATCAAGGTCTCTGCATGTGCCAAACAAGTCTTTTCAGATCTACTAAGGGTACATTCACACTGCAGGCCTTAATGCTCAATTCTGCCTTTTTTGTGAAATCTGATTTTTTTTTTTTGCGTTGTCGTTCACATTTCCAATTATATGCAACTTTTATGTGATCTCCTGTGCGGACTGTATTCATACAACACTAGTGTCCCGCAGTTGAGGTTGCAAATGAGCTCTGTATTTACTGAAGTAAACATGGATGGTAGAGCTGGAGCGTATCTAGCGATCTTTACTAACCTTAAAAACTCAATCTTTTCAAGATTGTTTAAAAAAAAAAGACTGCTCTTCTCATTATTGTCCACCATGGTTGTTGTTTTTCTTTCCACTTCTGCATAGCAAGACCCAGAATAGTGACCTTTGTTGAGTATTAATGACGTTCAGGTCAAATAAATGCGACCCTGGCCGTTCAGACACAGATGCATTGTGAACGTAGCCTTAGTAAAAGGATGCAGTGGTAAAAGGATGTTCAGGTAGGTGGGAGAGGAGACAACCACATGACCGGACAAGTAGACAAAGCAACTTGAGATCTACAGAAAGAAAAGGGTTAGGGCCTGGCACTACCCAAGAGACAAGAGCAGTAATGTATGTAGGCCAGATCTAGTCCCAAACAAGCTAAGCTTAACATGCACTCCTTAATCCTTTACTTCTGCTTCTGTTGACTCCCCTTCCATTACTCACAGTTTAGTTTTGCTTCCTCAACAATGGGAGGGCGCAATGCCATAAGTGCCTTGTGGGATGACCTTCATAGAAGTTATTTTTTCATAACCTGAAAAAAAAAGACTTAATTTGCATTAAGTAAAGTTATAACTTTGTTTATACCCATTTCCCACTGGCCAAAAAATGTGGTTAAACCAGCAAACAATTGGGCATTAGTGGCAGTTAGAACAGCTCACCAAACCAAATTCAGGAAAGTGTCACAGGTTAAAATCTTAAAATAGCTCAGCTTTGCTCGGCAAATAGTGGGAACACCATACTCACGTCTACCCTGTAAGTTATGTGATGCCTTTTGGCGCTAAGTGCATACATCACAACATAGCACCAGTCATGTTTGACGTAAACCATAAAAAAACTCTGCTTGCATTCAGCAAATATGGCGAAGTATTGTTAAGATAGAGAATAGCACAGACAAAATACCCAAACAATAATGCATTCTAATTATGCCCTGGCTCTTTCTATGTTGCTCTTTATTGTTTACTTTCCTGATTTCTGTCACACTGATGACATCATCAAAACTAACCCGGCGTGATGTCGTCACAGACATGCAGTGGTGGGGGAACAGAGGCCATGCGGCTTGCCAGAGGGGCATCACACCAGGCTTTCTTGCCAAAGGGGAAAGGGGCCAAAGACTGATTGTTAGCAGGTCAACTCACATTTGAGAAACATATGCTAAGCCGCTACTTACAGTAGGAAAGCACCTTTCCTACTATAAAAGGCGGAGTTGGCAGGGCTGATGACCTAAAGGGTTAGTTCACATTGTATAAGGCACAAAGGAGAAACTGTTGTTTGGTAATAAACATAGACAATGATCAAGATAAACCGTTAGCCAACTTTATGGTGTGGTATTTGGATACTTATTTTAAACTTCTAGCAGCTGTCTGTTCTCCTCTGTTACAGCCTGCCTCTAGTTTGTTGACACTGACATGTTTGGGGTTGTTTTGAGTCTTTTGATTCTCTTTTGAATGTTAGTTCTCTCTTATGTTAACCTTTTTTTATATGTCTCTAGTCAATTTCTCTTGCTTGTTTTCTAGTGTTATTAGTTGGTTTTGACTTTACATTAGTTGGTGATTATTCCTATTTTCTTAGATAGTTTATCCCATGTGTGTTTCACCTTTTACTCCTGTCTAAACATTTCTCCCTCAGTCAAAGCTTTGGTTAATCACTTGATTCATTTCACCTTTGTGTGTCCCTTATTACCTGCACCTGGTTTCCCTTCTATTTAAGCTGCCATTGTGCTTTGATGCTTTGCGTTTTTTCTCAGGGTGACAGGCAACTTGCAGTTTATATCTTTCATGTTTACCTGCCTGCTCAACCCCTTGTAAATTCCTTTGGTTAATAAATTTCAAGAATTATTATCATGCTGGTTTTGTTTTCAAGATATTGGTCCATACACCCAAAACCACACCCTGACGGACACAATATTGTCATTGTTGTAACTGTACCTGAAGAGGTAAAATCCCTGTTAATGTTCTTGTGTTTATGAGCTGTGCATGAACTGTGCTCACCCTGTGTTATCACCAGCTTCAAACATTCAGTGCATTATATTTTCAGTTTGTTCCCGAACATGATTGTTTTACAAGCATTTTTCAAAGCTTGAATATTGTTTCCCTTTAAATTAAGCTCAGCTATCAGAGGGCATGGTTTTACTAACAGCTACTTTTTTCAAGTCGTATTCATTTTTGTAAAACAATTTTAGAGAGAGAAAAATATTCATAGAATTTGGTAAGAAAAAAATCTGGGGGTAGATTTTTATGCTGTTTCGCAGAGCCCTACCAGAAATATTTATAATACAATATCAATGTGTCTTATTGGTCAAAAATATATTTTTGTAGATTGGCTGGCAGTTAAATGGCTTCATTAAGTAATAACTTTTTGTCATATAAACATTAGTGATGTGAAAAAAATAATTGCACATTTATTGTTTCACAACACAGTTTGGCCAAGAAATAAGTTATGTTCTTCTCCATAAACTCCTTAAGTTACACATCCTAAATCTAACAGATAAGCTTAGTGTGCTGCTGTACTTTACAGCTCACCCCCTTAACACTAGACGTCATTTAGACTTTTGTTTTTAGGAAAAATCTGGCATGTCCGTCAGTCTTGATTTAGTCCAGAAAGAGTTTTTTTGGAAAATGGGGCTTGTTTGGCTGGTCTGATTTTGTCCCGCTTTAGTGTTGAGGTGAACCTACCTATTTCTAGCCAGTATCACTCCACCTCCCATAGAAACTCCCGCTTCCTTCCACCAAGGAGGTGATCATTTTCTTTTCTTTTTTTTTTATCTTAGAAATGAATCTAGATGTAAATTTTGCATAATCTTTCAAACATAGTGATTAAAGCTCAGTCTTCCACATTTTTCTTTTATCATATAATTATAAAGGCATGAAAACAACTCTGATTTTCAATTTAACTAAGCAGGCCTTATGAAAACAGGTGTAAGTGATGGGCAGAGCTTTTACAGTTCCTTTCTGTATCTCTGCTTCTGTCTCCTTGAACCGCAGTCTGCCTCGGCAGATGGCTGCTCACACTGAGCCTGGGTCTGCTGAATTTTTCTTCCTGCTTCTTCTCGCTACAAGCATGCTTAGTGTGAGGGGTTGCCTTCGAGTCAATTAGTTAATGCAATCAACTGGTTTTCCTTAGATAGAAAAGTTTGAATCAATTTGACCGTATGATGGTGAACTGTAAAGTGCATTGAGATTTTATGTGTTGTCATATAAATAAACTGAATGAATTTAATTGAAGATGACAGAGCATTCTAGAGCTCAGACAGGAGCAGCATGAAAAATGGAGCAAGAAAGCCAGCAGAGAGAGACAACACAGGCAGATACCATGGGGCACCATCTGCTGGACACAACACAAAATCACAGAGTGAATGAAAAATAGCAATTGAATGTATGTTAGTGAGATTTTGGTGTTCTAGATTAAATCTTTGTAGGAATATTCCACAATCTTTTCCAACTTGGCCCAAATCTAAAATTGAGGAACTATAACTTATTTTTTTTAGCATAAATCTCTAAAGCTTCTCTATTGTTTAAGTTTACTTTGATTGCACAGTGTGTTATTATGTTTTTTACTCTTATTTATAACAGGGTTATTAAAAATTGAAAGTAGACATTTCCATACAATGACANGTGCTTTGATGCTTTGCGTTTTTTCTCAGGGTGACAGGCAACTTGCAGTTTATATCTTTCATGTTTACCTGCCTGCTCAACCCCTTGTAAATTCCTTTGGTTAATAAATTTCAAGAATTATTATCATGCTGGTTTTGTTTTCAAGATATTGGTCCATACACCCAAAACCACACCCTGACGGACACAATATTGTCATTGTTGTAACTGTACCTGAAGAGGTAAAATCCCTGTTAATGTTCTTGTGTTTATGAGCTGTGCATGAACTGTGCTCACCCTGTGTTATCACCAGCTTCAAACATTCAGTGCATTATATTTTCAGTTTGTTCCCGAACATGATTGTTTTACAAGCATTTTTCAAAGCTTGAATATTGTTTCCCTTTAAATTAAGCTCAGCTATCAGAGGGCATGGTTTTACTAACAGCTACTTTTTTCAAGTCATAGTCATTTTCGTAACACAGTTTTAGAGAGAGAAAAATATTCATAGAATTTGGTAAGAAAAAAATCTGGGGGTAGATTTTTATGCTGTTTCGCAGAGCCCTACCAGAAATATTTATAATACAATATCAATGTGTCTTATTGGTCAAAAATATATTTTTGTAGATTGGCTGGCAGTTAAATGGCTTCATTAAGTAATAACTTTTTGTCATATAAACATTAGTGATGTGAAAAAAATAATTGCACATTTATTGTTTCACAACACAGTTTAGCAAATAAATAAGTTATGTTCTTCTCCATAAACTCCTTAAGTTACACATCCTAAATCTAACAGATAAGCTCAGTGTGCTGCTGCACTTTACA